GGGGGGGGGGGGGGGGGGGGGGGGGGGGGGGGGGGGGGGGGGGGGGGGGGGGTAGTTCGTAGGTTTTTACGTTTTGAACCGCCTGTTTGTGTTCGTGTGTGGGCGCGGAGTGGGTCAGATCTATACAAGTTCGAGAGACTGCGCAACAATCCAATTTCTGAAACCACGGCGGTAACGTTGGCAGCGGTGGGGGGACGATGCAGAGCCGTGCGTAGTTGTTCGGGTGGGGGGAGGAGGGCGCACTCAGTTATTTTTGCTTGCGAAATGGCCGCTTTAACCTTTCTTTGACCAGGCATGTAGCACGAGACGTCTGTACTCCAGATAGAGACGCCTCCTACGGTTGGGTCCTGTACGCGTTTCTCTGTAGTTGCATCATCCATATTCCACGGATCTCTCTTGATTTCGATTGTCCCTTTCCTGTTGAGCATTTTGCGACCATCTATACATTTCCGGTAGGATTAGTCTTGCCACTCTCTACTTTTTTTTTCTTCCAGACTTAGTCATGTCACATCCATCTGTTTTCTCCATTTCTTAGCCCTCAAAACATCCATCCCCACTCTCTCTGTACATAGATAGTTCATATTTTGGAGGAGGGGGGGTTAGAAGTTGAAGCTCTCAATAGCTCCGGTGGGCCTTAAAAATATCCTTGGGTCTTAAGACCACTTTCCCCTGTCGAGCGCGCACGAATCCCGTTGTCCTACTCGAGCCGATTTTTGGCTGTGCGGTGGTCGCGTCTCGAGCACATGGCCGAGCCCTTCTCTCGTTTCCGTATAGCCTCGGACGCTCCCTCCTTTCGGAAGAAAGTCCCCTTCGAGGGCACGATACAATACAGGCGGGAATGTGGGCATCCTGATCGGCGTAAATGTTTTTTGGGATTCTGTTATCATCGGCCGCGGGTGATGTAGCGTGAAGCAGCCTGAAAAAGTCTGTGTTTGTGTACACGCCCCCCCCCCTCCGTTCTATGCCTAGATGAGTACGCGACTCGAAACTCTTACGGAGGTGTACGAGCACCAAACGGGCCTAGTGAAGGGGATGGCGAAGGAGATCGCGCGCCTGAGGAACGGGCAGGAGGACAAAGCGGAATGGGCGGAGGAGATCAACGGCCTGGCCGACGAGCAGAGGGTGAGTTGTGAGGGGGAAACGAGAGAGAGAGGGGAGGGGGGGGGGGGGGGGGGGGGGGNGGGGGGGGGGGGGGGGGGGGGGGGGGGGGGGGGGGGGGGGGGTGCGAGCGAGCCGCATACCTTGGTTTTGTTCTGGTTTCTCGTTTTGCGACCAAGCGTTGGGTAGTCCATTATTTGCGTGCAAGGGTCAGGAAGTTATCCCCAGCTCAGCCAGCTCATCTGGTGAAATAGGCCAAGGTTTGGTTTCGAAGCTAATATGGAAAGCACGCGAGTGAAGTTTGTAGATTTCACACACCACACAGACAGCCCGTTCAACTTAGGTCTGTGTCTTATTAAGGCGATAGAGACCGCCATCCATCTTGTCCAAATTCGATGCTTGCATGTTCGGTTTATTATCGTGAAACGCCACCCCGTCCTGGTTGGTTCGTTTCCTAGAGCTAGCTCTCCGTGCGTAGAGTGAGCGGAGGGATAGATTGGGCAGGCCCTCTTTCCCGAAAGTTAGGTCCGAGAGGAACGACGACGTTGTGAAAGTACCTTCCGGCATATTTTTTTCAGGGTGTTTCCGCAGCAGAAATCCCCCCCCCTTTAATACCCTGCCTTGTTGGGTGTAGTTTATTCGTTTGCGTCCGTGCTGAATCGTGAGTTTTGCTAGATCTTGCCAGAACTACAGCAGAGAGCCACGGCGGGTGTGACCCACGCAACAAAGATCGCCCGTATGTTACAACCTTTTTTGTTTGTTTGTTTTGCTGCTTTTTGGTTCTCTTTTCTAACGAGGCAATCACTCAAAGGTGATTGTCTGTTTCAAAACATTTTTTTTTGCTTCCTCGAAATTCCTCTCTGAAAACGGGGTCCGGCCAAAAAACACATCCTCGTGCCCTCTCCCGCTTGGTTGCTGTTCTCCCCTTCGTTCCTCGTCGTTGATTCGCGGACCGTCCCCGCACCGGGTTCAGGTGAGGTCGGCCGGTGTCCTCGCGGTCGCGCAGGCGACAAGGCCGAACGTCTCGCCCGCCGAGCGCGCCTTCATGTCGGAGATGAAGGAAATGGAGAACTACACCGACCGACAGCAGGTGGGTCGGCACGAGGGTTATTCTTGCTGCGCCTAAGCGTTGTGGCGGTTGTTGCGGCGGGATGTGGTTGTTGTGGCGGGATGCGGTTGTTGTGGCGGGATGCGGTTGTTGTGGCGGGATGTGGTTGTTGTGGCGGGATGCGGTTGTTGTGGCGGGATGCGGTTGTTGTGGCGGGATGCGGTTGTTGTGGCGGGATGTGGTTGTTATCGCTCACGCCTTCGCTGTTGCCAAGAAACGTATGATTGAATTGATTGGTCTTGCCGGGCTTCACTGCGCTCAAGAACTGCCCCAAAATAGACCCAACACAGGAGCGACTAGCGGCGGTAGTCGAGTGCGGTCATGAAGCCAGTACCAAGCCATTTCATCCCCCAAATCACGAACTCGTAACACATCCCCTGTCCCGGCTCCAAACCTTTTTACCTTGAAAATGCTCCAAATATGTCAAACTTGAAAATGGGACAGGTGATGATTGAACCCGCGGCGAAGCAAGTCGAAGAGCTGTGCATGGCGGAGCGGGAGGCCGAAGACTTCCTCGTGCGGGAAGCGCAGGGATTAGGGACCGGCGGCAGGGGGGCGGGGGCGGGGTTGTCAGAGCGGGAGACGAGGGACGTTTGGAATATGCTCCAGGCCGACAGGGAGAGGATCTTGAACCTCGTCCGGCGGATGAAGACGGCCCTCGCTCGCCTCGACGAGCTCGGCGTTCGGAAAGATGAATAAGTTGATGAATAGTTGTTCTTGTGCGGGTGTTTTGTTGGTGGTGGTGTGCTTCTATTTTGTTGCTCTTGAGCTGCGCGGAGAAGATTTTCCCTTTGTCGCTTCTATTTCCATCGTGTTGTTTTCTCTAGTGAGGCAAACCAGGCTGCCGCCCTCACAGTCTCGCGAACGTGCTGTCGGTGATTTTCTTCGCTACTCTCTTGGTTCTCTCGGGGTCTCTTGTAAGACACGGCATCGGCATTGTAACACGTGCCATCGTAGGAGGCAACAGCATCGGCTCCCCTGGAAGACGTGACTTTAGCGTGTTCCACCGGGGAGCTGCGATCGGGCGAGGTGGTGACTACATAATTCTCCTGCTGTGATTTTCGTGTGTGCGGCTTTGCTGGTGGTTCAATAGAGAGGTTGATATCTTAATGGTTGATTTCCGGACTGATATTCCTTGCCGATATCAATCGGAGGCTGATGTTGCGTTGGTGAACCTTCGTGGTTATGGCACCACCCTTGTTGCGCCACCCTGTAAAATTTTTCACGCCCTGTACAAATATCAAATGTAAATACAACTATTATTTGAGTGTAATCAACTATTACGGGTATTTGCCTGTGAACAAATATTTGCGCAGCTTTTCAAGACAGCAGTTGCTCGGAACCACATAGTTGCGCAGCTTTTTAAGACAGCCGTTGACTGGAACCAAATATTTGCGCAGCTTTTCAAAACAGTAGTTGACTGGAACCAATTATTTGTTCAGCTTTTCCAAACAGTAGTGGATTGCAATCAAATATTTGCTCAACATTTCTGGAAAGTAGTTGCCGATACTTGGTGGTCACGAGACGACCGTGGTCTCTGGTCACGAGAGGATTACAGTCGAGGGACCCTTTTAGTGCCGGTACGTGCACAGAGCGTTCACCGGCACTAAATCGGGCACCCGGCACTATTGCGAATAGTGCCAAAACGGCACTATTGAGGGCTGGCCAATCCCTCATTAGTGCCGGTACCGGCACTAATGAGGTTGTGTTCGATTTATGGTGTAGCGCCCACGCTTACGGGGCCAACAAAGAACGAAATGGATCGACACTATTACTGTACTGTTGAGTGAAGTTCCAGCATGGGCGTGGGCAGAGTTGAGTTTTCTTTTTGTTGTCTTGGGGCGCTCTTTGGTTCTTCATTTTCTTCTGCACCTCACTTATTTGCTTATTTGTGTACTGTCGTCGGGACAAATTCTCTCCTGTTTGCCTGGCGCACCCGCTTCGATGTTGCAAGAAAAAAAAAATGACATGCACGACGGGCAGCGCACCGCAAAAATCAAACAACCGTTTTTTTAGTGCCACAGCTGTTCCCCGCCCTTACTCCGTAGCAACAAACTCCCTCATGTCTGCCTGGCGCACCCGCCTCTTGGAATGCGCTGCAATCATCGCCATCTTCGCTTTCGCTAGGTAGAGCGCCGCGTCTCCATTGCCGCTCTCCTCTGCTGCCGCTTCCAGGACGCCGAAGTGAGACGACAGTTCACCATAAGCCGGTGGGACACGGCGCGCGAGCCCCGTGTTGTCATCGCCGCTGTCCTCCTCCTCGTCCTCCTCCTCGCGGCCGGTAGACACTCGAGTCCCAGCCAGCTGTGCCGTCATGTCTTCCACCGTATCCTCTCTGAGAGCCTCAACCACTTCATCGTCGTCCTCGATGGTAGCCCACCCTTGAATCGCGTTCACCGCTTCCTCCAGGAGCGGCTTTCCGGGTTCGATGCGGAGTTCGGCGATGAGTTCGGCGATGTCCTCGTCCTCGATTTGGGTACCCTGCTTGTGCGCCTCGTGCACGCTCGTGCTCAACGTGTTGAGAGTCTCCGTGAGAGCCTTCAAGGTAGGCTCGGCGACGTGGAACTGGGACTTTCCGTGTTGCTTGGTGAGCTCAGCGGCCATCTCGTCCGGAAGAGTCTCGGCTTTGACAAAGCACCTGATCCCAGGTAGCGCAGAAAATGTCATGCATACGTTTGTGGGTGGACAACAAGCGGATGTTAGATGAACCCAGGGACGATCAAAGACTCATAGGCGGGGGAGGACTCAAGTTTTTGCGAAAAGCAAAGAAGATATGTATTCGGATGTTGGAAAACTCAGTCGAAAACAATATAATCTATCCGTACAACCTTACCCACGTTACCTTTGTACCACCAAAGCTATGTGCACCAAGGCGCGAGTTGAACAGTTTACATTATAAACAGCGATTGCACATGCTCAAACCTCACCTGGCGATGTCCTGGGCGGTGACGCTGGCCCATGCTTTCTGGAGAAGTTCAGCGGCATCCCGCACGTGAGGTTGGTGCCCTTGCGCCAGCCCCATTGTCCCGGCCTTCATTTTGCGAGCTTTGGCCTCGGCACGAAGGGTGTCAGCCACCAACATGGTCGATGTCTTCACATCGAGCAGCTCCTTCCTGTAGTTGCACTTTGTCTCGGCGATGATCCCCAGATCCATAGGCTGGTGTACGGAGGTGCAGTTTGGAGGGTAGAACTTGATGGTAACTTGCCCCCGATCATCCACTAGATCACCGTGAGAAGCACAGCCGTCCATCAGAAGCAGCACAGGTTCGTGAGTGAAGCGCCGAACGAACGGGAGGAAGACCTCACACCACCACTTGCGGAAAGTCGCGGTGTCGGACCAGGCGTTGGCCTGCGAGAAGTACTTGAGAGGTGAAGGCGTGTCGTTGAAGCAGCGGGGACCCTTTGCCTTCCCGATGATGGACATGTCAACCTTTGCAGTGCCGTCGGCATTGGCGCACATGATGGCAGACAGTCGATCCTTGAAGAACATGCCCTTGGAGCCCCGCGCCGTCTTCCGATCCTCCAAGTTGGAGAGGTACGTGCGCCTGGGCATGAGCTTCCACTGGAGGCCTGTCTCGTCGACGTTAAAGATGAGCCTAGCCGGGTACTTTGCGCAAAGGGCCTTGAGTTCCTCCATGGCTTCCTTGATGGCCTCCTTGTTGACGCTACCAGCCTCGCCATGAAGTCTCACGCTGTCGATGCTGTTGCGCTTCACGAAGTTCCTGGCCCACCTTTCGCCGGCCTTGAAATCCTCGACCCTCGCCTTCACTTCCTTAGAAGCTGCTGGATCAGCCAGCAGGGTTGCCCTGGCGGCACGGCCGAAGCTTCGAAGGACGTCGCGCGTGACGGGCATCTTGGTCTTCCGGGCTTTCTCTAGTAGGTCAAGAGCTATGGCGTCCACCTATTGACCGTCAAACGAGGAGTAAACAATAAAGAGGGTACAAAAGATAGCACGATTAGTTTCGAACATTAAGCCTCGTTGCACAGTGCATCGTAGTGGGAAGGAAACATTTCCGGGCATTTGAAAAACCACAGAAGCTCGCCGCTGCATCCGCATGTGTATTTATGTATTGTAACTCGTTTGAAAGAATAGGTGTGCGTGCGATGTAATGTACCAGTACAGTACAAACAAGTACACATTTTTGGTTCGCAGTTTATATGCTGGCGCAGCAGCGCACGAACGATAAAACAACAAAGAAAGTTGAAAAAAAAGGTAACACAAAAAAAGACACAAACGAACGACGAGAGGGAATAAGCTCAACAAGTACTGTAACAGTCGAGAAATAGAAGAAACATGGGGAAAGGGAACAGAGAACAGGGAACAACTTGACAAGAGAAGAAGAAAAAAGAACAAGAACATCAGATAGACGAACAAGGCTACAGAAAAAGGTCCTTGCAAAAACGAAAACTCTTTGCAAACAAGGCCCGGCAAAAAAAAAAAGGCAAAGAAGGCGCGGGAACTACGCGTATTTTTTTAAAACAACAGCAGAGTACAACTCTTGTATCAAAGCCTGACCAGGAAGTCAGTTGATAAGAACATCTATCTACATTTCTCTTTCCGAAGCTCGCTCGGGCCTACCGATCTCACAGCAGTGTAACCTCTGTGATAGTCTACAAAGTCTACGAGCTATAGCAGCACCGCGGTGACAGCAGTGTAACCTCTGTGGTAGACTACAAAGTCTACGAGCTACAGCAGCACCGCCACCTCCGCTGCTGCAGAACGCCACATTTTGTGAGGTCTTGAGCCTCGCTTTACGCGAACACCAGGAGCTGCGGACATCACGACGGAGGTCAAGACATCCTATTGCTGTGTACTACAACATCCGTCTGTGAACCTCGCGCGGAAAATCTGGATTCGGAGATTTGGGAGATCATCAGCGGTCAGCGGAAACGAAAGTGAGCGCACTACTTGGTCATCTACACCAAGGGGCTGAAAGTTCATTATAAACACACGTTACCACTGCTGCAACAGTAGTGGGTACCTCTTGTGGTGAACAAACAGCAAAGTGTTGCGCGGGAAGCCTCGATTTTGACATCGAGCAAATACTTCTGCGGCAGAGACAGGAGGGAAAACTGCTGTATCAACAGCGAAAGCGACCGGGAACCGTAGTCCTATTCACCGATTCTCTTTCTAGTTGAGGAAAAAGTATCAGGAGCGGGGTCGGAAGTTGGCCTACAACCGGAGTTCTATTCACCAATTCTCTATCCAAGTGAGAAAAGGGCTTCAGAAACGGGGTCACGAATCGGCAACGGAATCCTCTATATCAATAGAAGGAGCGGGGCTGGAAGAATCTCAGAGACAGATAGCTGAGTCATACACTTCACAAAAATATTCAAGACGAGATCATCAGGATAAAACCAGAAATGGGAGCAACATCGGGAACTGGAGGCGGAGGCAGCATCTGGAGTGATGGATCCACAAACCTGGCCAACGTCATCAGAGGACTCCCCAAGTCCGATGGAACGAACCAGAGGACTTCAACGACTGGATGAAGAAATTGGGTGTAGTCGTCGGCGTTACTCGGAGGGACATCATGCCACTTCTCAAGGGAATGCGCAGGCCTGATCCCTCGGACACCACCTTCGCCGCATACGAGAGAGCAAACGAAGACCTCTACGCAATCCTTTTCTGCCTCGTCGAACTGCCGGCTGCACTAACCGTACACAAGCACGAAGACGACACTGGCCTTAGCGGCGACGGACTGGCAGCATTCACGGAACTGAAGGCCAACTACAATCGAGTGACAGATGAAGTGANGTGCGCAGGTCTGATCCCTCGGACACCACCTTCGCCGCATACGAGAGAGCAAACGAAGACCTCTACGCAATCCTATTCTGCCTCGTCGAACTGCCGGCTGCACTAACCGTACACAAGCACGAAGACGACACCGGCCTTAGCGGCGACGGGCAGGCAGCATTCGCGGAACTGAAGGCCAACTACAATCGAGTGACAGATGAAGTGATCAGGGCTAAACTGGACGACCTGGAAAGGACGGTCATGGAGCCAGGAGAGAACCCGGACGATTTTTTCAACAAGAAACACCGCCTCCGCTCTCAACTAGAGAAAATGGGGGAAACCATCTCCGATCGCCGCTTCCTGTGTGCAAGGTTTATCCGAGGACTACAAGGACATCAAGATGATGGTTTTCCGCGACCCATCATTCGACGTACAAC